TTCTTCTTACAGGTCAGGTACTCCCAGTGGGGTTCTCCCTGCCAGGGCCTCTAGTCACCCCCACCCATATTCTACCAACCAACGGAGCCCTACTTTCTCCCTGGGACAGAGTGCCTGAGGGTAAGGGCAGTGGCTGAGAAGGCTTGGCCACTTAGGCTTCTCAGCCAGTTCAGCCTGTGGCCCTTGGAGAGCCAAAGCCAATCAGGAGCTGAAGTGATCCCCAACACAGCATAGCTGCTCTACCAAAAAGCAGCCAGTCTGCTTCATTAAAGGAGTTCCTAATCCCTTTCCACCTAACTGGGTGAGACCTGCCAACCATGGTCTCCAACCACTTCCTACAGGCACCCTTGGGCTAGCAATAGGTCAGTCCCACCCGAGACAGAGCTTCCAGAGGAAGGAGAAGGCTGCCATCTTTGCTGTTTTACAGGCTTTACTGGTGATACCCGTTCGTATGGGGAAAACTAAGGCAACTAGGGTTGGGAGCAGGACCCCAGCAAATTGCAGCAGACCTATGGAAGAGTGGCCAGACTGTTAAAAGAAAAACAAACAGAAAACAACCACCACAAAATAAAAAAAACCATCCATCAACCACAAAGATCAAAGGCAGATAAGCCCACAAAGATGAGAAAGAATCAATGTATAAATGCCAAAAACCCAAAAAGCCAGAGGGCCCCTTTTCTTCCAAATGACCGCAACACCTCTCTACCAAGGGCTCAGAATTGGGCTAAGGCTGAGATGGCTGAAATGACAGAAGTAGGCTTCAGAATGTTGGTAAAAACTGACTTCACTGAGCTAAAGAAGCATGTTGTAACTCAATGTAAAGAAGTTAAGAATCATGATTAAACAACACAGGAACTGATAACCAAGATAGCCAGGTTAGAGAGGAATATAACCAACTTTGTAGAGCTGGAAACACACTGCAAGAACTTCACAATGCAATCATGAGTATTAATACAGACTAGACAAAACAGAGAAAAGAATCTCAGAGCTTAAAGACTATCTTTCTGAAATAAGACAGGAAGAAAAAAATACAGAAAAAGAATAAAAAGGAATGAACAAAACATCTGAAAAATATGAGAATATGTAAGGAGACCAAATCTACAACTGATTGGGGAGAATAGAACCAAGCTGGAAAACATACTTCAGGATACCATCCAGGAGAACACCCTAACCTAGCAAGTTAGGCCATCATTCAAATCTAGGAAATGCAGAGATCCCTGGTAAGATCATTGCTAAGACACATAACCAACAGATTCTCCAAGGTAGAAATAAAAGAAAAAATGTTAAGGGCAGCTAGAGAGAAAAGCCAGGTCACCTATAAGGGGTAGCCCATCAGAATAACAGTGGACCTCTCAATGGAAACTCCACAAGCTAGAAGAGATTGGGAACCAATTTTTAATTACTAAATAATTCTTAAAGAAATTCTTAAAGAAAAGAATTTCCAACCCAGAATTTCGTACTAGCCAAACTAAGCTCCAGAAGTGAAGGAGAAATAAGATCCTTTTCAGACAAGCAAATGCTGAGTGAGTTCATTGCCCCCAAAGCTGCCTTGCAAGAACTCCAGAAGAAAGTACTAAACATGGGCCGGGCACGGTGGCTCAAGCCTGTAATCCCAGCACTTTGGGAGGCCAAAGCATGTAGATCACGAGGTCAAAAGATCGAGACCATCTTGGTCAACCTGGTGAAACCCAGTCTATACTAAAAAAAATACAAAAAATTAGCTGGGCATGGTGGCGCGTGCCTGTAATCCCAGCTACTCAGGAGGCTGAGGCAGGAGAATTGCCTGAACTTAGTAGGCGGAGGTTGGGGTGAGCTGAGATCGCACCATTGCACTCCAGCCTGGGTAACAAGAGCGAAACTCCGTCTCAAAACAAACAAACAAACAGAAAGTACTAAATATGGAAAGGAAAAACCGTTACCAGTGACTTCAAAAACACATTGAAGTATACCAATTAGTGACATTATGAAGCAACCACATAAACATGTCTATAAAATAACCAGCTACCAACATGATAGGATCAAATCCATATATAGCAATACTAATCTTAAATGTAAATGGGCTAAATGCCCCAATTGAAAGACACAAAGTTGCAAGCTGGATAAAGAACCAAGATCCATTGATATGCTGTCTTCAAGAGATCCATCTCATATGCAAAGACACACATAGGTTCAAAATAAAGGTATGGAGGAAAAAATCTACCAAGCAAATGGCAAACAGAAAAAAAGCATGAGTTGCAATCCTAGTTTCTGACAAAACAGATGTTAAACCAACAAAGATCAAAGAAGACAAAGAAGGACATTACATAATGATAAAGGCTTCAATTCAACCAGAAAATCTCACAATCCTAAATATATATATGCACCCAACAAGGAGAACCCAGATTCATAAAGCAAGTTCTTAGAGGCTTTTTAGAGACTTAGACTCCCACACAATAATAATAGGAGACTTTAACACCCCACCGACAATATTAAACAGATAATTGAGACAGAAAATTAACAACGATTTTCAGGACCTGAATTCAGCTCTGGATGAAATAGACCTGACAGATGTCTACAGAACTCTTTACTGAAAAACAACAGAACATACATTCTTCTCATCCCTACATGGCATTGATTACATCCCTACATTAACACTGATTACATAATCAGAAGTAAAATATTCCTCAGCAAATGCAAATGAACTGAAATCATAAATAGTCCTTCAGATACAGCACAGTCCAATTAGAAACCAATATTAAGGAATTCACTCAAAATAGCACAACTACATGGAAATTAAACAACCTGCTTCAGAATGACTCTTGGGCAAATGATGAAATTAAAGCAAAACTCAATAAGTTTTTTAAATCAATGAGAACAAAGAGACAACATACCAGAATTCCTGGGACACAGCTAAAGCAATGTTAAGAGAAAAAGTTATAGAACTAAATGCAGAGATATCAAAAAGCTTTGCCTGCATCAAAAAGCTAGAAAGGTCTCAAGTTAACAACCTAACATCACAACTAAAAGAATTAGAGAACTAAGAACAAACAAACAGCAGTGCTAACAGAAGACAAGAAATAACCAAAATCAGAGCTGAACTGAAGGAGATAGAGACGCACAGACAAAAAAAAACCACTTCAAAAAAATCAACAAATCCAGGAGATGGTTTTTTGAAATTATTAATGAAATAGATAGACTACTAACTAGACTAATAAAGAAGAAAAGAGAAAAGATTCAAATAAACACAATAAGACATAATTTGGGGGTATCACCCCTGACCAACAGAAATACAATCATCAGAGAATAATATAAACACCTTGATGCACATGAACTAGAAAATCAGAAGAAACTGATAAATTCCTAGACAATTATTCCTAGACATAATTTCACCCTCTCAAGACTGAACCAGGATGAAATTGAATTCCTAAATAGACGAATAATGAGTTCTCAAATTGAGGCAGAAATTAATAGCCTACCAACCAAAAAAAAAACAAAAACAAAAACCCAGGACCAGACAGGTTCACAGCTGGTTCTACCAGAGATACAAAGAAGAGCTGGTACCATTTCTACTGAAACTATTCCAAAAAACTGAAAAGGGGGGACTTTACCCTAACTCATTCTATGAGGACAGCATGATCCTGATGCCAAAACCTGGCAGAGATATAACAAAAAAAGAAATATTCAGGCCATTATCTGTGACAAACATTGATGCAAAAATCTTCAATAAAATACTTTCAAACTAAATCCAGCAGCACATCAAAAGGCTTATCCACCACAATCAAGTAGGCTTATCCCTGGGATGCAAGGCTGGTTCCCAGTATACAAATCAATAAATGTGATTCATCACATACACAGAGCTAAAGAAAAAAACACATAATTATCTCAATAGATACAAAAAAATGGCCCTCAATAAAATTCAACATTCCTTCATGTTAAAAACTCTAATAAAGTAGATATTGAAAAAGCATACCCCAAAATAATAAGAGACATATATGACACACCCATGGCCAATATTATACTGAATGGGCAAAAACTGGAAGCATCCTCTTGAAAACTGGCACAAGACAAGGATTCCCTCTCTCAGCACTCCTATTAAACATAATATTGAAAGTCCTGGCCAGAACAATCAGGCAAGAGAAAGAAATAAAGGGTATTCAAATAGGAAGAGAGGAAGCAAAATTATCTTTGTTTGCAGATAACATGATCCCATATTTAGAAAACTTCATTGTCTCAGTCTAAAAGCTAATTAAGCTGATAAGCAACTTCAGCAAAGTCTTAAGATACAAATCAGTGTACAAAAATTACTAGCATTTCTAGACACCACCACATGTGAACCAAGAGCCAAACCAGGAATGAACTTCCATTTACAATTGCTACAGAGAATAAAATATTTAGGAATACAACTAACAAGAGAAGTAAATGACCTTTTCAAGGAGAACTACAAACCACTGCACAAAACAATCTGAGATTATACAAAGAAATGAAAAAATATTCCATGCTCATGGATAGGAAGAATCAATATTATTAAAATTGCCATACCACCCAGAGCAATTTACAAATTCAATACTATTCTCATTAAACTACCATTGACATTTTCCACAGAATTAGAAAAAACTATTTTAAAATTCATATGGAACCAAAATAGAGCCTGAATAGCCAAGAGAATCCTAAGCAAAAAGAACACTGGGAGGCATCATGATACCTGACTTCAAACTATTCTATAAGGCTACAGTAACAAAAACAGCATGGTACTGGTACAAAAACAGACACATAGACCAATGGCACAGAATAGAGAACCCAGAAATAAGACCACACATCTGCAATTATTTGATCTTTGACAAACCTGACAAAAACAAGCAATGGGGAAAGGAGTCCCTATTTAATAAATAATGCTGGGAGAACTGGCTAGCCATATGCAGAAAATTAAAACTGGACCCCTTCTTTACACCATATACAAAAATCAACTCAAGATGGATTAAAAATATAAATGTGATCTTTTCTCCTCCCATGGAGCCACCACCATGAAGGTCAAGCTGTGCAGTTTCAGCAGGTACAAGATCTACCCCGGACACAGGAGGCCCTATGCCAGGACCGACGGGAAGGTTTTCCAGTTTCTTTTTTTTTTTTTTTTTTTTTGAGATGGAGTTTTGCTCTTGTTGCCCAGGCTGGAGTGCAATGGCACATCCTCGGCTCACCACAACCTCCACCTCCTGGGTTCAAACGATTCTCCTGTCTCAGCCTCCCAAGTAGCTGGGATTACAAACATGTGCCACCATGCCTGGTTAATTTTTTTTGTGTTTAGTAGAGACAAGAGTTTCACCATGTTGGCCAGGATGGTCTCGATCTCTTGACCTCGTGATCCACCCACCTTGGCCTCCCAAAGTGCTGGGATTACAGGCGAGAGCCACCGCGCTTGGCCTGGTTTCCCAGTTTCTTAATGCAAAATGCAAGTTGGCGTTCCATTCCAAGAGGAATCCTCAGCAGATAAACTGGACTGTCCTCTACAGAAGAAAGCACAAAAAGGGACAGTTGGAAGAAATTCAAAAGAAAAGAACGCGCCGAGCAGTCAAATTCAGAGGGCCATTACTGGTGCATCTCTTGCTGATATAATAGCCAAGAGGAATCAGAAAACTGAAGTTAGAAATGCTCAACGAGAAAAAGGAAAAAAAAAAATGAGAAAAAGCTATCAGGGCTGCCAAGGAAGCAAAAAAGGCTAAGCAAGCATCTAAAAAGACTGCAATGGCTGCTGCTAAGGCAGCTACAAAGGCAGCACCTAAGCAAAAGACTGTGAAGCCTGTGAAAGTTTCAGCTCCCCGAGTTGGTGGAAAACGCTAAGCTGGCAGATTAGATTTTTAAATAAAGATTGGATTATAACTCTTTAAAAATATATATATATAAATGCAAACCAACCAAAAACTATAAAAAACCTGGAAGAAAATCTAGGCAATACCATTCAGGAGATAGGCATGGTATAGATTTCAATGATACATACACCGAAAGCAAAGATTGACATATGCAATCTAATTCAATGAAAGAGTTTCTGCACAGCAAAAGCAATGATCATTAGAATGAATAGACAACAGGCTGGGCGCGGTGGCTCACGCCTATAATCCCAGCACTTTGGGAGGCCGAGGCTGGTGTATCACGAGGTCAAGAGATCAAGACCATCCTGGTCAATGAGGTGAAACCCCGTCTCTACTAAAAATACAAAAATTAGCTGGGCATGGTGGCGCATGCCTATAATCCCAGCTACTCGGGAGGGTGAGGCAGGAGAATTGCTTGAACCCAGAAGGCGGAGGTTGCAGTGAGCTGAGATTGTGCCATTGCACTCCAGTCTGGGTAACAACAGCGAAACACTGTCTCAAAAAAAAAAGAATGAACAGACAGCCAGAAATTATCATTAGAGTGAACAAACAACCTACAGAACAGGAGAAAAGTTTTGCAATCTATCCATCTTAAAAAGGCCTAATATCCACCATCTACTAGGAACTTAAACAAATATATGAAAAAACAACCCCATTAAAAACTGAGCAAAGAACATAAACAGACACTTCTCAAAAGAAGACATACATGCAGCCAACAAACATGAAAAAAAGCTCAACATCACTAATCATTAGAGAAACGCAAATCAAACCACAATGAGATACCATCTCACTCCACTCAGAATGGCTATTACTAAAAAGTCAGAAAAACACAGATGCTGGTGAGGTTGTGGAGGGAAAAAAATGCTTTTACACTATTGATAAAAGTGTAAATTAGTTCAACCATTGTGGAAAGCAGTGTGGTAATTCCTCAAAGACTCAGTGGCACGAATACCTTTTGACCCAGCAATGGGATTGCTGAGTACATACCTAAAGGAATACACATTATTGTTATAAAGATACATGCACATATATGTTTATTGTAGCACTATTCACAATAGCAAAGACATGGAATCAACCTAAATCCCCATCAATAATAGACTATATAAAGAAAATGTGGGCCGGGCGCAGTGGCTGTAAATGTGGGCCTATAATCCCAGCACTTTGGGAGGCCGAAGCAGGTGGATCACAAGGTCAAGAGATCAAGACCATCCTGGTAAACAAGGTGAAACACCGTCTCTACTAAAAATACAAAAATTAGCTGGGCATGGTGGTGCATGCCTGTAGTCCCAGCTACTCGGGAGGCTGAGGCAGGAGAATTGCTTGAACCCAGGAGGCGGAGGTTGCAGTGAGCCGAGATCGTGCCATTGTACTCCAGTCTGGGTAACAACAGCGAAACTACATCTCAAAAAAAAAAAAAGAAAGAAAATGTGATACATATACACCATGGAACACTATGCAGCTATAAAAAATGAGATCATGTCCTTTGCAGGAACATGGATGGAGCTGGACATCGTTATCCTCAGCAACCTAACAAAGGAACAGAAAATCAAATACCACATGTTCTCACTTACAAGTGGGAGCTGAATGAGGAGAACATATGGACATATTGGGGGGAACAACATGCACTGGGGCTTCTTGGAGGGTACAGGGTAGGAGGAGAGAGAGCATCAGAAAAAATAGCTGGGTTTAATATGTAGGTGATTGAGTGATCTGTGCACCAAACTACCATGGTACATGTTTACCTATGTAACAAACCTGTGCATCTTGTACATGTACCCCTAAACTTAAAATAAAAGTTGGAAATCAAAAAATAAATAAAAAGTAATATTAAAAAATATTTAGAAGATATTCAGAAACTCATAACATTTTTTTTAACTAAAGAGATCTCTAGAAAAAATAAAATTCTGTCACATGATACAACATGGATAAATCCTGAAGACATTATGCTAAGTGAAATAAGCCAAGAAAAAAAGGATAAATATTGTCTGATCCTACTTACATGGCATACCTTTAGTAGTCAAATTCACAGAGACAGAAGATGGACTGGTGGTTCCCAGGGATTATGGTGTCATTGTTTAATGGGTATGAAGTTTCGGTTTTGGAAAATAAAAATGTTCTAGAGTTGGATGGTGGTAATATTTGCACAACAATGTGAATAAACATAAATATATCAGCAATTATATTAAAATATATTTGTCCATTTTCATGCTGCTGATAAAGACATACCCAAGACTGGGAAATTTATGAAAGATGGAGATTTAATGGACTCACAGTTCCACATGGCTGAGGAGGCCTCACAATTATGGTGGAAGGCAAAAGTCACATCTCACCTGGTGGCAGGCAAGAGAAGAGAATGAGAGCCAAGCATAAAGTTTCCCCTTATAAAACCATCAGATCCCATGATACTTATTCAGTACCACAAGAACAGTATAGGGGAAACTGCTACCAAGATTCAATTATCTTCCATTTGGTCCCTCCCACAACATGCAGGAATCAGGGGAGCTAGAATTCCAGATGAGATTTGGGTGGGGACACAGCCAAACCATATCAAAATATAAATGGATTAAGTGTCCCAAATAAAAGACAAAGATTATCACACTGGATAATAATATTACAAACCCATCTGTAGTCTGCTTACAAGAGACACATTGTAAAATATTAGAATACAACATTGAAATTAAAATAATAGAAAAATAATATACCATAAAAATGTTAACCAAAATAAAACTGGTATAGATTTATTAAAATTAGAAACTAAGCTTTAAAATACAGAACACTTTTTACAGATAAAGAGGGCAATT